TTCCATTTAGCAGCAGGTAGTTTGAGGATAATTGACAAATTTGCTTCCTTGGGGTTTTGGATGATGAGTTTTTTTTTCAAATGTTTGAAACCTGATAAGATTGGCTGCGTTTTCTATTGCTGTCAATCCAACCTTTGCTACTTGATCCTTCTAGCTTGAGGCACGTAGTCAAATATTGTTGGTGTTGTGGTTCGGACAACAGAACAGCAATGCAACTTGTCTGTATTCTGGGATGGTATTCCACTCCTGGGTTGCTGTACAAAAATACTATAATTGATAGGACTCAGGACATGCTCCGAGAAAAAATGTAAAAAAATGTGCTTTAATCTGATCTGCCTCAAGGGAGCAATTGCATACAACGTCTGTAAATTGATAAATCAAGATTAATATTCAAATGGGTACTAATTTTAAGAGCATCTCCTGTCTGCAAATTGATAAATCAAGATTAATATTCAAATGGGTACTAATTTTAAGAGCATCTCCTGATAACCATAGCGGAGACCTGATAGATTTTTTTAAAAAAATGTCTGTTAGTAATCTTGATAGTGAGTATGAGCATTTGTGTTATCATCTTAAAATTGAGATAGCTCTCTGCAAGTAGCATAGATAAGATGATATACAAGCCTTGTTTGTGGTTTGGCATTAACAACATGCACAACTCCTGGCACACAGTACATGTTTTTCTGTTTAATGCATCCTCCAACCACAATAAAAGTGAGTGGCCATTTATGAATCTAGGAAAGCATGTTAGGAAGTTGAAAGTGTGGTGTTTAGTTCTCTCATAACATGGCTGGTGATTCCGTGTTTTGAACATCACATGATTTTTTTTCTATAAAATATGTTCCATTCCACACTATCAACTACAGTAACCATGATTTTGTGGTTAAATGAAGCTGAATCATAAGGTCTTGTGGAATCTTCCTGCCCTCAAAACTTCCCTCTCTTGCTTTCCTCCATTTTCATATTTTCATCTTTTTAAGTACTGTCCCTATGACAATCATGTCCCTGTGATCATTGTTCTGCGTCTTCTTGTTTCTTTATTGATTTTTAAATTCACACTACGAAAGGACTGGTTTGACAAACTGATGAGCTGCTGTCACTTGCCTTTCTGATTCCAAAATTTTTTTAGCTGTGAGAGAAGCACTTGAAATGGGGTTTTTTTCCTGGTATGATATGATCATCGGGTTGTTATGTTGTGGTATTTTATTAAATTTTTTCATGACATGCAATCACTTCAAATTTTAGTACACCGCTTTAATTTCTCTATAGGAATGTAATCTGAAGGAAAGATGTACGAAGAGTTTGCACTTTGTACCTTACCTTTTAATGTTATATGTTATATTGGTACATCTAGTATCCTTTGATGTCTACATGGTGATATGTCATAGACTATAACTTTGATTCCTAAAAGATAATGAGAACAAAATGTTTCTCACATGTATTTTCCATGTTTACATGCATGTACTGTCTACCTATATGTTGTAATATTATCATTGGTTCATGATTCTCTGTATCATTGTGATCTGCATTGTATTGCCATATGCATGCTTCATTTCGTTTGGATTTGATCAGTTGTATGATTGCATGTCGTTTGTTACAGAGCAGTGGTTGTCTTGGTTGCTATAGTAAACCCACACTAATTACCTCCATGGGTGAGCAATCAAAAGGACCAAAAGTTAAATGTGAGACTGTGAAGAAACCTAGCATATCAGAGGATTTCTGGACCACTAGCACATGTGACATGGATTACAGTGCAGTGCAGTCACAAGGAAGCATCTCATCAATTAGCATAGCGAACCAGAACCAGACTCTTGATCAACATGGTGGCTCTGGCAGTATTAACGACGTTTCTGAATTTGTAAATCATGGCAAGTTCTCATGGCTTCTTTGATTAGTTTTTTTGCATTTAATCATATTAGCATCTCCATACTTATGACAGCTTTGTGCATTTGGACTGCTGATGCTTATTTAGAATGAACCTAGCTTCCATTACATTTTAATACCCAACCTACATGAGAATTAGCAAGCAACATCAGTAGATATTTCAGAAGGCAGTATGACTTGCAATATGGAAAAATAAAATCAACAGTAGTGACTGCCATCTAGCTGCACTATCCCCACCCCGTACCCCTCTCATTTGTCCATCCATTTCACTCTTTCATTTACCTATAAGAGGGCCTCATAAATTTGATTTAAATAGGCTACTTTTTAACAATTTGCATGTAAACTTGGTAGAGTAGTAATCCTGTGTTTGCTAATGGCAATCTGTGCCCACTGCATCTCCCCATCTATATGTGGTTGCTTCACTGCTAAAAGTATGAACCTGAACTTTCGATTACAGGTCTTCTTCTCTGGAATCAAACAAGACACTGTTGGGTGGGAAATAAAAGGTCTGGGAACGAGGAACAGCTGCCTCAAGAACCCAAATTAAAGTGAGCAGCTCTTTGATTTTCCAAATTGATCAAATTTATATGAACCTAAAATATGGCTACAATCAATTTCTAAATTCCTGTTTGTTTGTGTTACAAGTGACCCTCCCACCTTTTTCCATGTGGCTGCAATTTAACTAAAATGTAACGTTCTCTGCTCCGAGTTCCTCATTTGACCTTCTTTTTCAATGAAGAAAGGAGAGTTGAGAAATAATCTAGATGGAACTTTTAACCGTTTTAAAAAAGGACCTTGGAATGGGTTTGGTTTTGCAGCACCTTAAATTGTGTCAAACACTGAAAAACTAATTAGAAATTTGGCATGATTATTGTGTTGACTTGCTTTTAGCCCATCATGAACATTGTCCAAAAATACCAAGAACATCATAAAATAAGAGTTTAATGGAATCAATCTTCCAAACCAGAGTGCAATAAGTTTCTGTCCTTGTTTGGATTCTAGGGCTTTTCTTACTTATTGTAGATCTAATGAAAAGAAGTATTGAATTGATGCCTTCAATCTAACAATATACCAAGAACATCATAAAAGAAGAGTTTTATGGAATTAATCTTTTGTCCAAACCAGAGTGCAATAAATTTCTGTCCTTGTTTGGATGGTAGGGCTTTTCTCACTTATTGGAAATCTGATGAAAAGAAGAATTGATTTGATGCCTGCAATCTAATGATTCTTGTCTAGTACAAGATAATTTCTTGTTCTGGAAACAGTTGGGAGTGTTATTTTTCCGTTCAAACAGCAAGACTGTTGGTGCTCCAAATGTTAAGCTTTTACAAAACCGTGGTGTAGTGTCTAACCATTGTATGTAAAAGTGGAGAAATATTCTTGGAATCATACTTTGTTGTCTTAAAAGCATTGATCTTTCATGTGTTTTCTGGTTATTTTGTCAGCGTTCATTGTCTCTGCTGTTAGAATTCATGAGAGTTTGCCTCTGAAGTTTGAAACAATCTTAGTAAGACTTAGTCTTTGTTTTTATATCAGATTCTTGCTCCTGATTTTTCTGTTTTTCAGTTGGTAGAAGTAGTGCCAATAAAATCTGATAGTAGTTGAGATTTTTTTCAGTGTTTTCAGTTTGATTGTAAGCCTATAAATACGCATTCTCATTTGTGAAATTTAATTCTGCTCTTCTTCAATTCGTAAGTATCAAATATCTATCTCTTCCTACAAGTTTTAATCCTTATCCTCTGCATTTTTAACATCTGCACGGTTAAAAAATTCTTGCTTTGCTGCAGTTGGAACGCGACATATGAAAGTTTGCTTGGGAGCAACAAACCGTTTCCTCAGCAAATACCACTCACTGTGAGCATCTTGTTTTCTCCCTCCAGCCAGCTGATGGTGTAAAACCATACTATATATATTGCTTATTGGTATCATATTTGACAGGAAATGGTGGATTTTCTTGTTGACATTTGGGAACAGGAGGGTATGTATGATTAAGTAGAAGTTCAAGAGATTTGAATGATGGTTAGGATCAGATACCCTTGCAATTCTTGTAAGCATTGAAATGTCATCGAGCAACAGGTGGTGGTGGTGTGTATATCAACCGTAACATTCCCACCCCAGCTTTGATTTACTCACAGGCATTTGTAGACCTGCCTTCTGTATTGCACTGAAAAAAAAAAAGAGAAACAAAACTGGCTGCCTCTGCTTTAACTGGTCACAGTATTTTGCTAGTTTTATGAGTTTTCTTACTACGATGGCTAATTTGCTACTCACACGTACCAGCTAAGAGACTGGCTTTTGAACCAATATTGCCATGCATATTGGTTCAACTGATGGTGGTGGTAGTTTTCAGTTCTTTGACTTGGATTTTTTTTTTTCACCAGCTGATATTACTGGCTTTATAAAGAATTTACCAAGATTTCCCCCTCAAATGAGAACTTTTATGATGGCCAGCGCCTAGGTGGCGCTTGTGACATGACCCCCGGCGGATAAATGGGCTTGGATAAGAGTGGTAAGTGCTAAATCTCCACTTAGTTTTGTAAACGAAACCATAACTGAGCAAAGCATGTAAATACTAGATGGCGACCCCACAGGCACCATTTTAGGAATTTCGAGTCGTTATGGACATCTGAAGCCCAATTCCTATAATGAAGACATCTGTTGGACGAGAAAAAAAGGTGCAGAACTGAGGGCAAAGGGCTTCTTTTCTTCTTTAATAATATTTTCGAGTTAATTTGTACATTAATTAAGATTAAATTCTTTTAGATAACTTTAAAGAATATATCTTTTAAATCAATCTAATAAACTCAAGATTTGAATTCAAAAGCAGCAGATTTCGCTTCCATTTTGTTTAATAATTTTTTTTATATTTTGATATATTAATAATAAAAATAATTTTTAAAAAATAAAAAAAATATTATTTTAATATATTTTTAAATAAAAAACATTTTAAAAAATAATCTTTAAATAATATCTTCGTTAAACAGACCGACACCCTTAAGAATGAAGTAGGCAAAAGACTTTGGAATCAGACACGTTGTCATCTCGAACTCTCTTGCCTTGCAGCAAATTAGTTCCTACATTTTAGAAACACCCAGAAGAAGTCTCTAGTGCTTTACATGTGAATCCTTTTGATTGATGTGTCATAACCTCCCAGAACCTCTTAGACACTTCTTCGACTATCACAACCCAGCTCCACTACAACACCACCTACCTCTCTTTAAATTCTCTTTCATTTTTCTCCAGCTTAAGCAACAATAAATTTCAAGTAGCCGCAAGAATCCGCCTCTTCCGTTGAGAGTCTCTTGCTAACCCTTGGAGAAACTTCCCTTTCAAGAATGAGTTTGACACGTTTGGCCTTGAGGAATTTGCCCCGAAGGACGAGCTTCTCCGCTTCTTCTTTGGTGAATCATGGAGGTAGCATTGATGGTGTTCTCGGCGGGGTTCGAAGGCAAAGGTGGAACCATGATGGGTTGCTGAAGAGGTTTATGACAACAACAACAACAAGCGATCAAATAGCAGGCCGTGAGACATCAGATGGCAAAGAAGTAGCTGTCGACAAGGATAGTGACAAGTCTAAGTTGTTTCGCAGGAAGAAAGGCAAGAAAGGTCTCTGGAGGAAGAGTGATGGAATTGATTTTGTTCCTGCACTTTATGGTACACGCGGTCTCTATTTAAATTTCTGAGCTAAATTAATTTAACTTCTCAAAGATGTTTTGATACATTTTATATTTGCCCCCACTCTCCACCAGAGTTTTTTCCTTCAGGTCTTGGAAATGCACTTGTGCAAGCAACTGATAACATCAACAAGCTGTTCCAAAACTTGCATATTCCGTCACCCTCGAACCTCATAGGCCGCGTTAAAGAGAAAGATGAGTGCTATAAATTACGATACGAGGTTCCGGGTGTATCCAAGGAGAACTTAAAGATCACCATCGATGATGGGGTTTTGACAATAAAGGGAGAGCTCAAGGAAGAGGAGGAAGAAGGATCAGACGACGAGCACTGGTCAATGAGGAGCTATGGATGTTATAATACTAGCATTATGTTGCCTGATGATGCTAAAGCTGATGATGTTAAGGCTGAGTTGAAGGATGGTGTGCTATACATTACCATTCCAAGAACTGAAAAGCCTAAAAAGGATGCCAAGGAGATTGATATCCATTAATGTTCTCTCTCTCTCTCTCTCTCTCTCTCTCTCTCTCTCTCTCTCTCTCTGTATCAAAGTGAGTTCTATAATGGCGTTTTGGTGTCTTCAGAAACCCCCCCTTTTTTCCTCCTCCCCTTAACCAGTCCGGGAGGCGTCTTGTACTTGGTGTGAATTGCCTCTTCGTTTCCTAATGTCTTTTGCGTGAATTAAAATAAAGGTAAATAAGCATGGTTTTATGACGATAGAAGTTTACATTCGTCGTTCTACTTTTGTTACTTCTGATTTTGTATGATTGCCCATCTATTCTATTTATATTAATCATAATACATTATTTCACTTAAATAATTAAAACAACATGTCGTTTTACTGTATTAATTGGAGCAACAGAAAAGCATGTGGACAACAATATTTTTTTATCTATAGAATTTTATTTCTTTTGAATTAGATTGAACATTAATTTCATGAAATATAATTTAAGATTATAGTTAAAATTAAGAACAAGATCAAAATAAACAAAAGAAACCATAATTTTTTTTCCATTTTCATGTAAAAGAACTCTTTAAAGTTTACTTTCATGGATGATTTAGTTTATATTATTTTAGGATTTTATATTTTATTGTATTTTGGTATTTTAAAGTTGAGACGGGAGCAAGAACTTGCCAAAACAAGAGGAGAGCTCTCAGGTGGAGAGAAATTTTGGTCATAAAATACAATTTTGATGTTTATGGATTAATTTTTTAAATGAAAATCTATGAAGATAATTTCTATCTTCAATGATACAGGCTAGGAAAACTAAATAAGAGGTTTAATGATGTTTTATTTTATTTAATTTTGATTTTTTAGATATTATAAATGAGTTTTTAGAGATTTATATGATTATTATTTTATTTTTGGATTAAAAAGGTTTGAAATTTATGATTTTAGGGTTTAAAAACTTTGATTTTACTTTTTCATTTCCTAGATACACCTATGTTGACTAGAAAAAAGCTACATGCAAACTTAATTTAAAAACAAATAGAGGTAGATAATATGTCATTATTTATTTATTTATTTTTAAAACCTAGATGTGTGATTGGCTTCTCATAGGTCAAGTGTTCAAGTCATTTTCATAACCCATGTAATCCTACCCCTTATTGTTTTTTATAATATCCCTATTTCTTTTTATTTTAGTTTATAATAATACTCTTATTAACTTAATTTATTAAAATAATTATTTGATTATGCCATTATTTTCAAATTATATTAGCATTTGTATGGTAATATTAATAATTACTTTATAAATAATTATATGAACCTAATATGCATAATTTTTTAAATATTTACTCATGAATTTTCAATTCAATGTGAATGAAATATCTATTTTTAAAATTTTTATTATAAATTTTTTATATAATTTTCTCTCAAATTTTCTATTTTTATATTTTTGTAATACATTCACACTAAAATTATCAATTTATAGTTTTTTTTAATTAAAATTTTATTTTTTTATTGTTTTTTTAAAAAAAAACACTTGTTTGTTTAATTAAAAAGATACATTTTTTCTCTCTTTATTTCAAATCATTAATGTTTTTGGATATTTATTTTAATTGCATTAAGTTTTTATGCAACAAATCACATAGCTAGAAAAAAAATTGTTAAAAAAATACTTTAATAAGGAAAAAAAAAGAGAGGAAAGAAACAGTATTCAAGTAAGACATGAGAAAATGAACAAATTTTTCAACTCTATAACCAAGCAACTAAAGATATAGAGATTAAGAAAATAATAATTCAAAGAAAAATAGAAAAGAACTAAAAAAAGGTTAGTAGAAGATTTTGTACAATGAGATGACAAGGAATAAAAGGAATAAAAAATATGAATATTTTTAAATAGAGTGGTATAAAGATATGTGAATTATAGAGAAAAGAGAAGGGATAAAAAAATCAAATGGAAAAAGAGGAGAGAGAACAAAAATCTTAAAAGGAAGAAAAAATAGAGTGATAAAGTCAAGAGAGTTGTTTTTGGAGGAAATCTAGAGAGAAAAATTTTGTTGCAAGGAGTGATATTTAGTTAAAAAAAAAAAAAGAGAAAGTGTTTGTAGAAAAAAGAAAGAGAAAAAGGAAAAATAATGTGTAAGAAAGAGAGAAAGAAGAAGAAAAGGAAAAGGAAAAGTAACAAAAAAAAATAAAATGACAACTCACTCTACTTACTTGAAAAAAAAAAAAACCCAACCACCACAACACCAATAACTTCTATATCACTAGCATTGACTTATTTCTCACTATAATAATAACATTTTCAACATCACATAAACCTATGAAAAAAAAGCACAATAACTGTTCTTTTCATCCACCAAAACCAACATCGACAACCTATTCTAAATTTTAAATTTATTTTACATCAAATAACCCCCTACATAGCAGTTTTAACTAACAAAAATAGAAACAACAACCCAGAGAAAGAGACAGAGAAACCAATGTAGTCAATAAGACAAAAAACAATAAATTTAAAGGCTTTAATTTTCATTTAAAGATGGTGCTAAATGACACTGCTTATATAGATGTCAAAGGAAGGAGACACACATATGACATGGTGGTCAATATGCCACGCAACAACTATCATTTATTAACATGTGTAGTCTATGCGCTATCATTTCCTCCATTCATTCTTAGCAGCTTTAGCTCAACTCTAGCCATTCCTGAAATTTGGTTTCTAACTCAACAAATTCTTAAATAATTTTGAACATATTGCATATTATTGATTTTTTTTAATTTATTATGTATTATTGTAAATGGTTGCAAAATATTTGAATTTTAGGTCCACACCATTGTGTGGCAACCCTAAGTGTATGGAGCTTTTATGGATTTGTTTTTAATGTGGAATAATTTCTTAATCAATGCTTTGTGATGTGGTTAAGAGGATTGAGTTGCAATAAATGTATTTAAGGTATAATAGTTTGGTCTTGGTGTAAAATTTGATGTGTGTTGATAGTCTTTTTTAATTGCAAAATTTATATGTTGATGTTGTTCTGAATTGTTAAGTTGTGTGTTGTTTTTTAAATTATTATGTTAGCTTTGTATTTTTTTTTATTAGGAGTTGCGGTCATTTTTAATCTATTATATTGCATGTTGATGGCTTTAATACATAATTTTGTTGTAAATATTTATTTTTAAAAAGAAAAGAAATAACTTCGATGAGTTTTTGTCAATCTTGTGTCATATCATGATTTAAACTTAGGTTTTTAATGGTAAGATCTATATGTCTTCTAGTTTTAGGGACCAATATAAACCTAACATAACACTTTTAACCTTTCCTATTCCTAGGGACTAGCATAAGCCCATTATGATGCTTTTAGCTTTAAAATGTGTTAAAAAATACGTCAACAGGTTTTCATCAAGTTAAAGATATGCTTTGTTTAAACTTGGATTTTAATAGTTATGTTAAAGACTCTTTTGGGCAATACAATGTAAATACAAGTAGTCCTGGAAGTCAACACATGGATCAAGTCAAATCAATCATTACTTTTCGCAGTGGTAAGGTTATTAAAAAACCCACTCTTGAACCTTGTGAGAAAGATAATGAGTCAATCTATAAGGGTAAGGAAGGGGTTGAATTTGAATATTGCAAGGAAAAGACTGATTCCCTGCCAGCACTTTCATTTCCTCATGCCATGACTAATCAGGAAGAAATCGAGGATGAAAAAGGCACCGAAAATATTGATGCAGATCTTTTATCAAAAGTGACAACAGATTCGACACCCGACATCACACCAATAAATGATTACTTTCTTGATGAATCTCTACTTTCTCTTAGTTCAATGCCTTGGTTTGCTAAAAATATCAATTTTCTTGCTTCAGGATTTTTGCTAGCTCACTGGAGTATCGAAGACAAAAGAAAATTTTTGAGCAACGTGCAAAAATTTTATTGGGATGACCTTTACTTATTCAATTATTATCCTGATCAAATATTTTAAAGATGCATTCCTGACAATGAGGTAAGTAATGTCATTAAATTTTATCACTCTAAGACACGTGGGGATCATTTCTTATAAAAAAAAAAAAGGATTGTAGAAATCTTACAGAGTGGATTTTACTGGCCTACCATATTCAAGGAGTCACATGCATTCCGCAAAACCTGTCAAAATTGTCAAAAGGTGGGATTTATTTCAAAACACAAAGAGTCTTTAGATAATCTTCTATTGACTCTTAAGTCTCATTGATTAGTACTTAAAAGTGCATTTTTATCATGGTTTTATATCATCATTTTGCACTTGAAGTATCAATAACTCCTTAACTAAAGCATGTTTTATAATAATATATCTAATAATATAAGATACCTTTAATTTATGGTAAATGTTCATTTTAAATGTAGGCCTATCACATAAATGAAAGGATTGATTGATGACTTTAAGAACTTAAATTGCAAGGGAAAAAAGATGACCAAAATTAGAAAAGAGATGTCGGTGCAATCCAAACCGGAATACTGTTCGGTAATTGGGTCATATCTGGAACTATAGATCTCAGATTTAGGTCTACTTTATATGGATGGAAAGGTAAGACATAGACCTACAACTTTCATATGGAGCCCAAGATCTAAAAAGGCCATGTTCAAGTCCAAATTGTAGCAACAACAAAGAAGCCTGAATCTGTCCTCCAGCCCGAGCACTGTTCAGTATTTTGGCCATATCTAGAGTTCTAGAAGTCCAAATGAGCTGAATGTTTTACACAAGCAAGCTGAGATAATTGCCTACAACTTTCATGTTTTCAAGTGGCTCCAATTTGGACATTATCAAAGACGTTTTGGGCAGACAAGAGAAGATAAGGATTGTCACCAAGTCAAGAGTTGGCCACCCACTCATCAATTAGTCATCAAATCAATAGTTCCCAATTTAGGCCTATAAAAGGAGGAATTTGCCTTGCATTTAGGTATCTTGGTGTCCAGATCAAGATCATGCTCTTGCTTTCTCTCTTTGTATTTTTTGTAATGTTTATGCTTTACTTTCATTAATATCAAGTTTATGCCTTTCATTTCCTTGCATTTACTTAGTTAACTTTAATCTTATTCATGTTCGTATTTTGTTTATTTATTTTTCTTTCTTTCATTATGTCTAGCTAAGTTTATTATGTCAAGGTGAAAAGGTTACACTAATGTTGTAAGAATAAGTATAGTGTAAACTTAATATGGACTTTAATGTTTGATACTAACACGTTTTGTATTTGTTATCTTATTCACTCTTTAATACTTTGCTTGTTAAATGACTAATCT